TACAATTTTTTCAACGGTGATTAATTTTAAATTATATTACAAATAAAAGGCAAGTACATATTTTAAATCTTTGTATAAAGTTCAAGTATTTGGCATTTGTGAAGATTTTAAACCAAGACAGGTAAATAATATTTTCTAAAAAGTTTTAAATTTTTTTTTAAATTACTTTCATATAATAATATAATTGTTATTCAGATAAATTACCTTATAGAAGAATCACAGTATGTTGGTAAAGGAGCTGATACTGTGATTTCTCTAGTTCATAATTATTTTGAACAATATAGTCTTGGTGAAGAAGAAATAATAATTCATGCAGATAATTGCTCTGGTCAAAATAAAAACAATGCAATGATTCAATATTTGGCATGGAGAGTATTGACAGGTAAACATAAAAGAATTACATATTCTTTTATGGTAGCTGGACATACCAAATTTAGTCCTGATAGTTTTTTTGGATTGTTGAAATTGAAACTTAAAAATTCTGAAGTTGATGATTTAGATGATCTTGTTAATGTTATAAAATCATCAACAAATGGATACAATAATGCTCAGACAATTTATGATGAAAGTGGTGAAAGAAAAGTTTTTTTCTACAGCTGGACTGAATATTTAAAAAAAATTTTTAAACCATTACCAAATATTTTAAAATATCATCATTTTATTTTTGATCAAGAACAACCAGGAACTATATATGTTAAAAAGAGGATTGATGAAGAATTCACAATTGTAGATATAGCTAAAAATTTGGATATAGAGCCTATTTTAGAGCAAAAACATCCTTTAGGTTTGACACCTGAATGACAAAAATATATATTTGAAAATGTTATTCCATATGTTCAAACTCTGTTAAAAAAGATTTTTATAAATTTTAAATTTTAAATTTTTATTATATTATTTATTATTTATATTGTTATTATTGTTAAATATTAAATAAATTTTTTTGGAAAAAAGCTCCCAAGTTTTGTAATAAATAAGGAAATGATACACATATACCGAATTTTTGGGTCAAAATCTTTTTTTTTTGATTATCTCAAAATCGTGATTTTGACGTTTGGGCTGTTTCTATTGTCCATGCCCATATGGGGGTTTTCTAGCAAAAGGTAGCTTAAGTCATATTAAATTATTTTGAGAAAATGACTCCTGAAAATTTGTTACACGAAAATTGATTGTTTTGAACCCCAAAAATTTATCATAACAAATTTTGGTGAAACGGTCGAATTTTTGGTAGGGCAAAAATTTAAAAATAAATTTTGGTGGAATGGCTGAATTTTCATTAATTAATTCTTTATAAATAATGCAAAAATTTCTTATAAAAAACCAAATATCTAGTATAAAACATCTGAAATAAAACCTAAACCTTATTTATTAAAAACTTTACCATTTATAATTATAACATGTTTTCAAATTTAAATCAATCATCTGTAGATTTAATTCATAGTAATATCACAAGTAATTTAAATCTAGAAAATGGCATGGAATTATCACCTGAAAATTCAATTTTACCAGATGAATTATATGATTTAGGATTAGAAGCATATGAACCAAATGAATTAGTATCTGAAGCAGTCAGGATTTGAAATTATTTTTTGAAGATGAATCAAATTGCAAATGTCATAAAAAAAAGATAAAATATGTTTTAAAAAAATTGGCTTTAGAAATTTTTTGGAAAGAAAATTCCAGTTAAAAATTAGAAGACAATGAACTGGATCTTTGTATTAAAACACAATTGATGGTTTTTAAATTAAATGATGAGGATGACAATG